TAACAGGGCCGGTTCGGAGCTAGAGCCTGAAAAGCACCGTTTTTTCCTGTTCACACCGCAGCGACTACAGCCTCTAAGCTCCGGAATCCGGTTAGTTTCAAGCACCAAAAAATTGTCAAAAGCAAGCACCGCTTACGTCGGAGGCAGGGGCAGGGGCAGGGGCATCAGTTGTAATGTTATACCATAGTAATTAATGCTGCAAAGCTGGGTATTTTGAGATTGGCGCATGCAGAGGCTAACAACAGCTAGCTCTAACGCCATCGAATAGGACGTATATTTACCTTGTTTCTCCTACAGAATCGTCGTTGAAGTTGATGGTGATGATTGTAAAGAAGTCCTGAATGTAGCATTTAACGACTGTAAAGTTGGTAGTAAAGTCGTCCCTTTTCTTCTTTCGACAGAGCAAAACCAAAACGAGTAGCGCTTCAACACAATCTGCCGTTGTTTTGTAGTCGATTGTTGTTGTTGGTTTCCGCGCGGTTTGGCTTTATGAAGCAGGCACGCAAACGGATACGTCATGACGCAAACGATGACGCAGCACCAGTCGAGCGGTGTGAACAGAGCGGGAGCTGAACCGAAGAACCGGTTCTGAACCAGAAAAGCTCTAGCACGGAGCTAGAACGGGAAAAGCCTTGAAAGGGGTATCAGAGGCTGTGTGTGTCTGAAACTGGAGAGGAAACAGCGAGATTATGCACAATAATTGTTGCTGGTTTAGTGCTATGTTGATCAGTTAGTTAGTTTGTGTGACTTTGGTGTTCTAAAGGGCTAGTTCAAATTGTAATAATAAAAAAACAACTAACCGGTCGACGAAGTGGAAGACCAGCGTGTTCTACAAGGTCAAATTATTGTTCTGTCAAAAGAGCTTTGTTGTTTAAAGAGACAAAATCACATTTTAAATTGTATTGGTAGATGATGAAACTTCCACGATGATGGTCATTCAGAAAATTCTACTCCTCTTGATGATTACTCACATCTACAGGAGGAGTCAAACTGGGGCTTTGAAAGTCCCTCAGTCTGGGTGCCTGCTCACCTTTAAACTAGTCCAGGTGAAGCGCTCCTGAGCGGGTTGCAGGTCAGATACAAATCAGAGGAGCCTTTAGTTTCCTGTGCAGGGTATTTCCTGCACTCTCATAAGCCCTCAGGCACTTTCCTGTAAGCCCAGCGGAACTATACCTAGTTCAGGAAAGGTAACGTGCACTAATTCAACCTGAACATGCCTTCCACTCTGCTGCCATGCTGGAAAGACTGGTTATAAATACACCATAGAGCCCAGGATAAAGGCCACAGTATTTTCAGGGATATGTATTTTTTATTGGTTTGGTCTACCTTTACAGATGGTAAACATAAGGCCCAAATCAAGCTGTCTATTGTAGGAGCACTTAGAAAGCATGTGTCCACACAGGAATGATTGGGTCAGCTCTAGGAAAAAAGGAAAATCATGAGAACTCAAACACATCACGTTAAGCCCATAAAAGTAGCAGAGTGAAGCATGAACACGAAGATGAAGGTTAGAAGAAGGGTGTGACGCATGCTCATTTGTTTTTCAGTCTCTTTCAAGCCTGTCCATCATCACCCGATAAATATAGACCTTTACAGGGCCTAAAATGAGTTTCTTTGACAGATTGTGTCTCTTTAGAAATGTGTTAATGGTCTAATGTACTTGGATGATCACTTGTGTTTGATAGCAAATTGCTCCATCTGAATGTTTAATGGCTCTGATAATTTGAGTATTTAGCTCATTGTGTCTTTTCCCCTCTGTCTACACGACTGCAAATAGTTCAACAGCATTCTATGGGCTCAGAACAGTCTCATAATACACACATGCACACAGAAGGATTCACACTTGTGTTTTTCAATGCACACACAAATGTGTTCCGTTTCATATACATGTAAATACAATCCAAATGCAGAAAAAAGTTTTACATAAGTAAAAAAAAAGCTAAAAGCAGCTACAGAGACCATTCAACTAATAAAATATTCAGTTTTTTCTGCATTTTCAGCTAAATTCTGCGACAAATGTACACATTTTACAGCATTTGCACGCATTTTCAGCAGGAAATGCATTTTCTAGTTTAACCTAAGTTACCATAATGGTTTTGCCATTGACTGAAATTGGCTCAATTTATTTGATCATAGAAAATAAATGTCTGAAGACTTTAAAGGATCTGCAGTGTGACAGCAAATCTTCATGAATATCCTATTGAATGTAATGTAAATACATGCCTTCCTATAAGAAATGCGTGCTTCTTCAGCTGCACACGTGGAAGGTCAGATTCAACAAAAAAGTGGAGTCATGGTGATATTTGCAGGTTGGGCACATGGTCAATTCACTGCAGTGAATGCTCATGGAGAGATGTGGGACAATGCATGTGTTAGATGAAAGGACAGGTGTTCTGAAAACAAGTGAGTGTTTGCAGTTTGAGCTTTTAACACTGACACACACAGCTCATGGAGACACATTAAATCATTACTGCCTGATCGATGTCAACAAAGTGAGAATGTTTTTCACTGCTGTTTGCCTCTGACTGGCTTCAGACTGAGAGACAAACACAAACCATGAGCCCATCTGACCTGCGAGAAGAACACATTCCTTCTGGCCAGACCACCGTCTTACACAACTGCTCCTCTGACTGCTCCCGCTCCAGATGTTGAGCACACAATGTGCGGAACACTCTGTGTGTTTGGTTGTGTAGCTCAGAGACTGTATGCCTAAGATCAATCTCATTTAGTGGATACGCTTCTCAGGGGAGAGAACAGATCAAAGCTTATGGTCAGATGTTGATGCTGCTGTATATCAGTTTTTTTTTGGTTTGGTTTGGTAACACTCACATTACTGGATTTAATCTGTGGATTTCTGGAGTGTGTTTGGCAGTTAATCTGGCTGTGGTGGTTAGAGGCTGTCTGTATGAGAACGGCTGCAGGAGTGGAACTGCATGTTCCAGGCATGCTCAAAGAACATATTAGCTCTCAGTAAATCTACTCTGAGTAAATGAAGGCATATACAAAAAATATCCAACCTGCATAGGAATCGTGCTCAATTTAGGGGAAAACAAGCATACAGGAAGCAAGGCATATTTCTTTATAGTTAATAAGGTCCTCAGCTAACTGCTTCTTTCTCTGGGACTTTGTGGGGATATGTGGCTCGAGGGTTTTGGCAACCAGAAGGAGTCTGGCCGTGATGCCGATACTCGTTGGGGGCTGATGTTGATGTTTTCTTTCTTCTATACCTTTACTAGAAAAAGGTCCCACCAAGTGTTGACAGAGAGCTCTGACCTGTTGAGTAAACCCACACTGTCTCTGAAAAGGCATCACGCTTCCTCATTTCATTAAAAGCGTGCAACAACACAACAAATCAAATTGACTACCTATGTGTTGGGGTTGAAAGCAGAGATCTAATTGGTAGATATCATGGAGGAACAAATGAAAAAAAAATGACACATTTCTCCAGATCTACCAGCGATACAGCTTTCATAGTCAAACATACAATACATATGATATATATGGTAAATATAAAACTGTACTCAGTTCCTCCTTTCTGCTGCTTTCACCATGCTGATAAAAGACAACAAAGTGCTTTTTGAATAAAATAATGAAAGGAAATGATTTTGTACATTCTTAAACACAAATGAACATTGTAGTTGAAGAAGTGATACTGATACAAATTTAACTGTAAAAAGTGCAAATACTATATCAGTCTAAAACCTGTTTACTGTGTAATGTGGACACTGTGATGACAATAAACAAATAAATATATATATATATATATTGTGCAGCTGTTGATAAAGCTATTGAGTTTTATTCAGGCATTCTCTTTTCTCAACAAACATTAACTGAAGAACATTTAAACTTCATTAGGTTATTTTTAGGTTTCATTCATTAACATTTCCACATTTAATAGATATAGTAAAAAAGAGAAAGGTTCTCGGCCTGTGGTAACATATAAACCAGTCTCATATGCTTAATACTAAAACTGCTAATTGAAAGTAAAACAGTTTGAGAGGTGAAATCATCAACAACTGCATTTTGAATAGACACAAAAGGTGTTCATCAACACGGTGTCCCCGGAGAGACGTGTCCCCTGCCCCCCCGCTGCTGGTTACTTTCCTCCCAGGCCGGATACTCACTGTAGAAAACAGCTCCTCGGAAAATAAGCAGCATATACTAGAACAAGAAACGCCACTTCAAGAAATACTTGTTCCTTAACATGAGCGCAGCGTAAAGAAACTGAAGGGACGTTTAGAAAGGACTTAGTTGTCAGTTGCAAATTCTCCAAAACATTGTATTATACTTGCGAACTAAACAATTGTGAAGGAGGAATGGATAACAATCCCAAACTGGTGCCCACCCACTAATTATGGTGTGGGTACAAAGAGATTGTTGCCATTCTAAAGGGAGAAGGGGAGTGTAGGTGTATTAATTCCTGTTTCTTCCTGCTCCCTCAACTTGGAAGTTCAGATTTAGAAAAATAGACCCCCCTCCCTCAAAAGAAAAGAAAAAACAAGAACTGTCACATTGACTGACGCCACTCTCGTGTATCTGTGTTCCCACCACTGCTCCCTGTAGTATATGCCACACTGTGGCAATGTGGGAAACTGACAATGTCAATTTATCAGAACAAAAGAATTCCTCAGCAAGAGGAATACACATCTTCGGGCCCTGGAGACAAAAATCATTCCACCCCCACCCTTACCTGTATCTAAACAGAATGTAGGACATTCACAACACCAGAAATAGACATTTCACTCACAATTATCATTTCCGAATGTATCCCCTGCAGTCAGAAGTTAGGATCTCACTTTAAGAGTTAGAGCTGCACTTTAATGCTAACTTTCTCAAAGTAAACAATGGGAGGCAGCAGGATGAGCAGCAGCGGAAACCAAAGGGGGGGCAGTGTAAATAAAGTGTTCTGGATCCATTCTGCCCTAAATCATTGTCTCTCAGGGAAACTTGACTTTTTTTATTGAATTTGAGCTGTATAATTATGTTGTGTTTCTTTCCAGGTGTCTGATCCTGAAGTCCCCACCATCACTTCAAATTTGGGTAAGTGCTCAGCCTAGTTTTCACCTCCTTTCTTTGTGCCACTAACTAATCTCTTGCCTGTTTTTCTTTTCATTCATATTATTCACCACATTTGTCTTATTCGCAGACAATATAAGTATATATATAATGACCTTAAGTTGAATTATCCTTACTAAGGATCGACCGATATGGCTTTTTCAAGGCCAATACCGATTATTAGTAATCAAGGAGACCGATAACCGATATTTGGAACCGATATACATTTGCAGTAAAATTAGAAAGTCAAAATGTAGAATAACAGAACTTCTTTGAAATGCCTTTTTATGTTTAATGAACTTTTCAACATCTTAAAACTGGTTTCCTCTCTTGGCCCTTTCACACCAGCGCTTTTTCAGCTCCGGCTCGGAGCTGGAGCCTGAAAAGCGCCGTTTTTTCCTGTTCACACCGCAGCGGCGCCGGCTCTTAGCTCCGGAATCCGGTTCACTTCCAGCTCCAAAAAATTGTCGGTCTAGAGGCAAGAGCTTCGGAGCTAAGAGGTGGCGTCGCTTACGTCTCTCTTACGTCGAGGCGTGCAGGAAACTAAACCCACCTCCCCTGAACATGCCTGCCTACAAGCAGCAGTGCTTATAAACACACTTTATAAAGTCAGGCAACACTAACCAGGCTTCGTGTGATTCTGTTTATTTGTACCTTACTTTGACCATCCGTTCACTGTTATTGATCATTGTGGAGAGAGGCAGACGTGTTGTTTTGTATTATAGCAGCTATCGGATGGAATCAATACATGGGCTGCACAGGTTGTCGTGTCCGACTATCACAAGTAGAATCATTATAAAAATACGCCGGTAAAATGTGCCTGTAGAAAACGGTTTATGCCACAATAGGATAGCAATAGCAAGTAGTCAGTTTAGCTTCGGTTGCTATGCTAACATCACCCATTTTATACCAGAGAAACTTTCATAACAGCGTTGTGATGCCAAACAGCGTCAATTCAGACTGACACACATTCACTTAGGCTAAGGGGAACTGGGGATATGTATCAGCTGCTTGTGTGAGTCGGACAGTGAATACTTTAGAGCGGCCGCAGCAGTGTGAGCTAACCGGGAGCTAACGGAGGAGAATAAACTCCCGTGGAAGAGCAGCCAACACTGCAGCGGTCGGTAAATGCTGCAGAAACACATTAATAAACAATGAACCACGGCACTCTGGAGCAAAGCATAAGGTTGGAGAAGTCGTTATTTAATTTATTCTGGCTTCGTGTGATTAAAAGCAACACGATCATCGACCCGACGCAGTTCCCCGTTGTTGTGAGCGCCGTAATGCCGTTGGGGAGCAAATCAGCGATGTAAACGGTGACGTCATGACGCAGCAGCGGCAGCACCAGTCGGGTGCTAGGCGGTGTGAACAGAGCGGGAGCAGAAAAGGGAAACCGGAGCTGAACCAGAAAAGCTCCCGCTCGGAGCTAGAAAGGGAAAAGCGCTGGTGTGAAAGCCGCATCTGTGACCCTGAGTAAAGTAAATGAAGTAAAAATTAAATTAAAACTTGTTCTGAACTTCTGATATTTGAGTCTCACTCATTTAGTAGTCCCAATTCAGCAGCACCAGATTGTGGTGCAGAAAGCAGAGTTGCTGCGAGGCTCCACTAGCAGCCGTCCCAGTCGTCCCAGCGCGTCCCAGTTTCTCCGCTGCGAGACGCTACCCGCCCCTGGGTGCTCCTCCAACAATGCAACATAGTTAATAAGACATAACACAATAATACAAATACAAAAATAAAAATAGAGCAATAAGAATCAGAGTAGAATAGAATTATTAGTTCTTATTATACATCCATGATGATGCCCCATGATCACAACATGGCCCCCCTAAAGTCTGAGTGCCAAGGACCTCATATTATGTCTGTCATTCATGTTACATCACCGATTATAACAGTTTTCTTTCCTTTTTTCTCTTCTCTTCACTGAATAGTCCTGTCTTTAAGTATAACCCAATGTAAAGTCCTTTTCCTGCACCATTTTAAGGCTTCAAAACAGGCATTTTTACTGTATGTGTTTGGAGAAATTACACAATCAATGGCCCAGAATTGTACTTTATAAACTATGAATCTTGTGGTGCTTGAAGAAATACAGACTGGTTAAGTCGGCCAGGTTATATATATATATGCCTTTTTTGCAATATTTATTAAAATGTCACTAGTTATTTAAACAAACCACTATCTGAGGATAACAAGCAACCATAAAACACCCTTTACTAGCGAGCCATTGAAGCAATGAATAATTTATCCTTCCACTAATCTTTTCAACTGCTGGCCATTTAGTAAGGTAAAAAGCAAAAACGCCTCGCAGACGCTCTTCCGTTTACTTGTTTAATAAAGAAAAACAAATGGACCGTAGAAACACAGATTGTTATGGATGTTCTTTACAGAGTTCAGGTGTTTAACAGTCTTATGGCCTGTGGAATGAAGCTGTCCCTGAGTCTGGTGGTTTTAGTCCTGATGCTGCGGTAACGCCTGCCAGACGGCAGCAGACAGAACAGTTTGTGGCTGGGGTGATGGGGGTCTTTGATAATCCTGAGGGCTTTCTTCCTGAGCCGCTGGGAGTAGAGGTCCTCCATGGATGGAGGTCTGCCCGTCAGGAAGTTCAGGATCCAATCACAGAGGGCGCTGTTGAGCCCAAGGTCTCTGAGCTTGATGGCCAGCTTGGAGGGCACAATGGTGTTGAAGGCTGAACTGTAATCCATGAACAGCATTCTCACATATGTGTTCCTCTGGTCCAGGTGTGAGAGGGCAGTGTGGATGGTGAGGGCTATGGCGTCGTCTGTGGACCTGTTAGCTCTGTAGGCAAACTGCAGGGGGTCCAGAGAGTCAGGGAGGGAGGAGGTGATGAGTGTTTTGACTAACCGCTCAAAGCACTTCATGATGATGGAGGTGAGTGCTACTGGGCGGTAGTCATTGAGGCTGGTGGTTTTAGTCTTTTTGGGGACAGGAACGATGGTGGAGTGTTTGAAGCATGTGGGGACTACAGACTGCAGCAGGGACCTGTTGAAGATGTCTGTGAACACCTCTGCCAGCTGAACTGCACACACCCTGAGTAGTAACCTTCGGTACCACGTCATTGATGCATTTCCCAATGTAGCAAATAACCGTGTCCGGGTGTATGTTCGTATTGTTGTCCTCAAACACACTCAATCCATAGATTCAAAGCAGTGCGGCAGAGCTGAGTCTGACTCCTCACTCCAGCGTTGTATAGTCCGTGTCACCGGTCTGTCCCGTTTGAGTTTCTGCTTTTAAGCAGGCAGCAGCAGCAGAGAGATGTGGTCTGATTTGCCGAAGGGAGGGCGAGGGAGAACCTTATATCCATGTCGCAAAGGGGAATAAACATGGTCCAGTATGTTTCCCCCGCGCGTCGGGCAGCTGATGTGTTGGTAGTACTTCGGCAGGACTTTCTTCATATTAGCGGTGTTAAAATCCCCGGCGACAATGAAAGCCGCCTTTGGGCGTGAAGTCTCTGTCCTGTCGATCACACCGTACAGCTCGTCCAGTGCTGTGTTGTCGTCAGCGTGTGGCGGAACATACACTGCTGTAAGCACAACCAATGTAAATTATCTTGGCAAATGAAAAGGCCGGCATCCGATCATTAGGTGCTCTAAATGAGGAGAACAGTCTGAAGAAATAACCCCATATCCGAGCACCAGTTATCGTTCACCATAAAGCACACACCACCTCCCTTACTTTTCCCTGAGTTCTCCCGTTTCCTCAGCCTCACTAGCCCTCCGGCCCGGGACCCCCGCTTTGTCTTCCTCCTGCGCCGCTTAGGTATAGCAGCCACAATGACAGGTAGCCATGGCGATTTCCCATTGTCTGTTCTCGGTGATAGACTGCTGTCAACACAGTTTTTGATCTAGAAGTTCCTCTCTGCTATATTGTATAGCAGAGTTGGTGTTGCAGACAAAGTTAAAAGCACACACTGAAATGTTAACAAACACTGAAATAAAACGAAAAAAGAATTGTAGAGAAGCCAAAAACACGGCAGCCATCATTACAGGCGCCATTTTTTCATGAAGCATGAATTGAACATGTGAACGAACACGCATTCTGGCCCTGCACCAGTTTAACAGTTGCACAAATAAAATGGTGTATTTCTGTAATTATGATGATTCAATATACAAATACTTTTATTTTGCACATGATTGAAAAATGTATCATTGAGTTATTGAATATGAGAATGTTTTACAGTTTAAATTCCTCTGGCTATATCTTTTTGCGTAAAGTGTTGTTTTAAGGACACATAGAGTGCTCCTATGATCAATTCTTGATGTTTTCAACTACATTGGTGAAAAACCAAAGCTCTGTGTTCAAACAGAGCTTTGTCCAGTTTCTCTCTCTTCCTCTGATAGACATGAATCACATCGCTCCAGTGTTCCACCAGTCCGGCTGAAGTTTCCTGCAGCATAGTTATGGATCGAATATTTAGTGGAGGTTAGGTCCGTATCTGTCAAAGCACTGCTTCACAACTACATGGATTTGTGCTCGATGTTTACACCGTGTGTGCTGATCAAAATACATGTCAGATGACACTTTATGCCCTCAAAGATTTGATCTTGTACACAAAAAAGAAGTGTCCATGCTGCTTCTCTCAACATGCCACCATTTAAACACATATACTGGCAGCACACTTGAATATTTGTTTAGGTTTGAAATCCACTTCAAAAATAAAAAAGACCATGCTGGTAGACCTCATTGCTGCATATTAAGTACGCATTTGATGCACTAGTTAAGCCTCCAGCGATTCTTTGTCTTTTTTCCTGATTAGCTGACTCTTTGTTCATTATTCCTGATAAGCTGCTATAGAACCCATAACTGGCAGATCAAGGTTGTGTTTACATGTCCTGATAACACTAATGGTCCTCGCTATAATTGATTTAAGCCAACTTTTCACCAGTGTTTTGGTCACTTGACGCGTAAACTTGATGGAATAAAGAGCAGAAAGATATAACATGCAGACATCGAAATGAGTGAGCTTTAAG